ATGCTAAAATGCGGTGAAGACTTCTTAGATACAACTATGAATGCTCCTGCAGGCTTCGCAGCCATCCATTCTCTACCATTTTAAGTCTAACAGCCAACTTTCAACCTGCTGCAGGTCTTACTATCGTGCTTCCGAAATGATACTTAGAAAAATAAATAGGCAGGCCTGAAGTTCGGAGATTTTCCTTAATGGTATTGTTGCTATAGTTACAGCTGAAATGTTATGTAAAGCAAATTGCTTATTGATGGAAAAATGCCAAGTAGCACAGCAACATCCCTCTTCTGGGTTTTTATTGCCTTCATTTCCTACTTTGCTCTTAAGATTAATGGATTTGTGAAGCATTGCCTTGAACAAGCCCTGATGATATGACGTTAAAATAAATGCATTCTATTAACATGCACCAGCTGACAATTGAATACATTGTAGTATGCTGTGATCGACATGGAGTTATTTTTTATACACTATTTGTTTATCAGAATTTTCCCCTACTTGGAGATAAATTTGGTATCCTGGTTATTAATGTGAAAGCCCTGGATTAAAACGTGATTGGTCTAATAGAGTCTTCTGAATTTATTTGATACATTTAATAATAATATAGATAAAAACTTTTATGTTTTCTACTATTAGGAGATATTTATAGGCTACTGAAAATAAAACATAATTTAAGAACCTAGTGAAACCAATGGAAGTGGTCTGAAAGCATCCATAATGATGACTTGTATGTTTAAAAATAAGCCTCCATAAGCACCTGTATTTTTCCAATGTATTTTCTATGTAGTAAACTCAATAATGTAACAGCAATGGCTTTAGTTTATATAAGTATATATTACATAATCATATATATAAAATATATTTATTTTCTAATTGTCTTACTGTCCTTTTTCAAGATTTCTTTAGAGAGAGTGAGAGAGAGAGGGAACAAGTTGGGGGGAGGGACAGAGGGAGAGAATCTTCAAGCAGACTCCCTGCTGAGTGCGGAAGTGGCCCTCGGGGCTTGATCTCACGAACCATGGGGTCGTGACCTGAGCCTAAAGCAAGAGTCGAAGACTCAGCCAATTGAGCCACCCAGGCACCCTGTCTCACTGTCTTTATTTTCAAAGATAAAGCTGTAACTCTTTTGATGTTTAACCTTAAGGCAAACTATGAATAGTCATGTGTTTTGCAGTTTACAGAAAGAGTTAATGCTATGTGTGGTAAAATCCTTTCAGGTGGTAAAAATCATATATGGGCAGTGATAATTTATGCATTGAATTTTTGTATAATTTAGGCATCTTGCTTATTGTTATCTCCAGATTGTTACTGGACTAGAAACATTATGAGTATTTAATGGTGTGGCTGTTGAAGAACAAAGAGTGAAGATAATGGATTTTTTGGACCTAGAAATGTAATGCTTCTTAATTAAATCCCTGAATACAGGGATACAAAATTCCTTGGGATTATTTTTGGTAAAGAATGCAAAAAATAATTGTGAACTACAGATTTTTTTACATCTTATGTGTTGTAGAGTATTTCCTAAATTGTGACTTGTGAAGCCAGTTTTTCTAGTAATTGTGTTTGTATTTAATGGTGATATGATAATGACGATAACCTATATTATCCAAAATGAACTTTCATTTGAAAATTCATTTTCACTCATTTTACTCATTATTAAAATTCAATTTTGCTTTTCTCATTTCTACTTTTGATTTTACCCTAGCCTCTGCCTTTTCGTATGCCCTCTCTTAATAAAATTTAAATTTGCATATTTAAAGAAATATACAAATTTTGGTGTTACTATACTTTTCTCCCTTTTTTAATTCCTTCTTGATATTATAACTTCCTCTGCTTGCAGAATTTGTTGGCATTCTAATTTTGGTTCTAGGGCTGCAGAAAGAAGAGACACATGTATGAGACTTCCAATTCAGCATTTCTAATTGGTGAAAAAATTCTCTTTTGGGAATCATAAATTATCTAATTCCTTATGTTCTAAACAGATTCATTAGCCAATCCCATTAAAACCATTATATCCTTGGGGCACCTGGGTGGCTCAGTCGTTAAGCTTCTGCCTTCAGCTCGGGTCATGGTCCCAGGGTCCTGGGATCAAACCCTGCATTGGGCTCCCTGCTCTGCGGGAAGCCTGCTTCTCCCTCTCCCACTCCCCCTGCTTGTGTTCCCTCTCTCACTGTGTCTCTCTCTGTCAAATAAATGAATAAAATCTTAAAAAAAAAAACAAAAACATTATATCCTTTCCATTTCCCTTATATGTGTATATATATTTTTACTGCATATTTATTTTAACCCATATCTTATTCCTTGCCCAATGGTATATGTACTCCATAAATATAGGTAGAATAAATATATACAGAGTAGATACCTAAGTGAAGTACGTTGTCATAATTATTTGACATGATAGTAACATCAGGTTCCAAATGAATTTTGGTGACAGTTAGTCAAAGCGTAAAGTCAGAAGAATTAGGCTTGTCTTAATAATCTTATTTCAAATGCAAATCACTCATGCAACTGAGAGACCAAGTATAAAAATACCAGGTTTAACTGCATACGGGTGGAAACTTAAGCAAACACAAGTTTGATCTAGCCAGCGAGGCTCTCGGGATAAGATTCTTTTTCTTTTAGACTGACATTATTGCCTTCCCTCTGCCTTGCAGACCATACTAGCGTGAGTTATCACTGCTTGTAGGTTTATCAGACGTTACTTCAAATTGGGAAAAATGAAGTGTTTTAGGTGACACTATAGGTTAAATAGATGATACCTTTTATCCCCTTAACCTTCAAATATGTGTAAATAATGAGTATATTACTTTGAAATGGTCACTTTATTATCTCAACACATTTTCATTTTAACGAGAGCTGTGTACCATTGTGGTATCATATGCTGTAAGTAGCAAGAGATGATAACTTTGCAAGAATAATTTGTTCCAAAAACTCAGATAAAAGAATCACACTATTATTTTGATAAAAATTTGCAATGTAATGATACCTGTGTTCCTGGTATATGAAAAACTTCCTAACTTCTTTACATTAGAACATGACCTGCCAGGAATGCTTAACACACACCTGCATTTGGTTTTTACAATCCATGTGACAAGACGGCAGTGATGCAGGTATTTGTGTCGCGTTTGTTTTTAAAAGATGTAAGGTTCTGAATAAAAATATCCTCAGATGTGGCTCAACTGAGTAATGGTTTTTAAAACCACAGCACAGATAAAGATTGATTTTCTTGGAAAATTGATTTTCTTGTGGAAGTGCCTCCTTCAGGGACTATTCAGCACCAGGGTTGGAGAGAGCTTTTCATATTTGACGTAAGGGATCAAGTCAGTTTCTTTCCTAAGACTTTTCTATAAAGTTCTGGTGTAAAGAAGCCACCATTCAATACTTTAGAGTTGTCAAAACCTGCATTAAGAAGAGAATTGGTATTGGATAATTGTACACACAAAAAGCAAATGAACCCGTAACGCATACTGATGTTTTATAGACAACAATTGACACAAATTAAATAATGGATTTTTGTCTTTACTCTTTAGATAAGTAAATAAGAATTTATAATGGCTTACAGATTGCAAAACAGTCATTATTTTTTTTTTAAGATTTTATTTATTTGAGAGAGAATGAGAGAAAGAGCATGAGTTGGGGGGGGAGAGGCAGAGAGAGAGGGATGAGTAGACTCCCCGCTTAGCAGGGAGCCCAACGTGGGGCTCAATCCCAGGACTCCAGGATCATGACCTGAGCCAAAGGCAGACACTTAATTTGCTGAAGCAGGCGCACCTCAGTCATTATTATTAAGCAACATTTTTTATATCTCTAAAGAAATTAGAAGCTGAAATAAGAAATGAAACTTAGATCCCTAAAGTTATTCTAGAACAATAAGTGATTTTAAGTCATGTAACTAGAAAGAGTGATGCAGTATGAAAAGCAGTTTGAAATTGAACTCAGAAAACAGTGCAACATATGAATGCAATACTATTTGTATGACTCCCCAACCTTGGACTTTACAGAATAGGTATTTATTAAATGTAACAATTAGGAGCTACATGTATAATCTTTAGTTCTTACATTATAATGTTTATAAGGTAAGAAAAAGCACAGCATATATCAATAAGGGAAGAATTCTGCAATATTATTATTCTAACATAATCAATCTCCCATGACATTATGTGTATGTGTTATGAGAGAGGAGTTTTCAGAATTTAGCTTGCAAAAGAATCAACCAAGAATTAACCAGTTTATTTACTCGTTAGCCTTCCCCAGGATCCTGCTAAAACAGTTTTAGGAATTCCTAGGAATTTGCATATCCTATGATCCCCCTCGGTCGATTGGTGCAAGTGGCCCATGGATTACAGTGAGGAGCAGAAATATAAGGAACTGTTCTAGTCAGTGATTCAAAAAACTCTAGGGGAAAGATACCAAAATTTGAGCCAATTTGAGCCAATGATTGTTTCTTGCTCAATTGCATGAGAAATGTGAATATTATTAAGAATGAAATTATTTATCAGTCCTAAAGCAGATAGAGAATTATGCACAATACTCTGGTAAATAGAACTACATTTGACCCACATCAAGAGATAAAAGATGTTATGCTAAATCCTAAAAGAACTTTTGGTTAATTGTAGTTAATAGAAAATGACCATAAAATTTAATAGTTTTGTGTAAATATATGAAATACCAATTTTGAAGCCACCAAACTCAAAAATATTCTGTTTGGAACAAATGCAGATTCTTCACCAAAAAAGTGAATATTTCCTTGGCTCCATCTTTAATGCAACATTTTTTTTCTTCCTCATGGTGAGGAGAGTGAATTGCCAATCTCTAGGGATTCCTCATATTTTTAGATTATAAAGAGTCTTTTTGCAGTCTTCCTTAGAAGTCACTATTTCATTGATTTGGAAAACAAAAAAGCAACTTGAAGTCACCAGATGTTAATCTTAGTATATGCACCAAAACAGATTCACCAAAACAGATGCATTATAATATAGTTAATCTGCTCATTGCTATTTTCTTTGCAGATTCAAGAATGGCTTTGTTTAAATTGCCAAACTCAGAGAGCAATATCAGGACAGCTTGGAGATATGGGCAAAATGCCACCTACACCTTCAGGACTCAAAGCCTCTCCTATGCCTGTCCCTCCAGAACAACCATCTCAGAAAACAGAAATGCCTACCCAAGTAAAAATGAAAAAGAAGGAACAAGAAGTAAAAACAGAAGCTGAGCAAGTCATTCCAGAAAAAGTGAAAGAAATACCATCAGTTGAAAAGATTGTCCCAAAGGTGACCACAGATCACAAACAGGAGAGTCAACTAGAGGAAGACAAAACTTCAGCCCCTCAAGAAAAAAAGCCACCCCCTGAAGACAAAAAGCCGCTCTCAGAAGAAAAAAAGCCACCTCTTGAAGAAAAAAAACCAACTTCTGAAGACAAAAAGCCAGCCCCTGAAGACAAAAAGTTACCTCCAGCAACAAAACCATCAGCTCTAGAGGAGGAACAGAAACAAGACTTACTTAAAACTCAAGTACCAACCACTGACAAAAAGCCGGAAGGCAGAGTGGCTCCACAGGTGGTACAGGATAAGCAACCACAGACCAAGATGGAGGATGAACCCTCTGGCCTGCCTCCAAGTTTGCCCAAGGAAGATGATGAGGCGACTCAAAAAAGGAAAGGACAGCAACAAGCAGCACGCACAGCAAAGCCTGAACCTGGGAGAGAAAAAACAGTAAGTTATGTTTTCCTGTCTTCGCATAGTCTTATGTATATGAAATTTGCTAATTTTTACCTAAGTACACAGAGTGCTTAGTGTAATTATGTAAGTGCAAGCCTTCAATTAAAGGCACTTTCAGAAAAGTCTAACAATTGCTGAAATGAACAACTTTGGCTTTCTCACAGCTTGATCTAACTTAAAGCAGAGATATCAAATTTATTTTCCTAGCTTTTATGCATATTGGATAATTTACCGAAATTCTGTAGGATGATTAGAAGAGTTTCTTACAGGTTAAGTTTCTTCTTCTCTCCACTGTGAACATAAAATCAGCATCCACCTTTAATATAAAATAATGTGTCTTTATTTAAGTTTCTGTTCACTTAGTTACTTGGTTAAGCAAGTCAACAAATTTCTTTTTGCTTGAAAGCCTTTTAAGGTGCCATCAGCCATAAAATGATTGTGATTGCCAAAAAAAAAAAAAAAAAGTGTGGCTGAAATTCAGGACAAAAGTCATTTTTACAGAAGTTAATTTTAGTATTTAACATGATTTTAATATAATGCACTCTATTTGGGGTTTGTTTAATATGTTTAATATTGAAGGATTATTTATAATCTAAGCATAATTTGGAATAATATATATTCTCTTTCTTTAGTGGCAACTTTTAAGAGTATCCATCTTAACCTCTATCTGCACAAGAGATAATGTCATTTTTAGAAGAACTCTGATTGTTTTAGAGCTACACAAGATTTTACTTCATATCTGGTTGAATAATTTTAATTCACAGATAATAGCAATGACTCGAAGGAAAAAGAAATGATTTATTAATATTAAAAGTTAATGTTAGAACTCTAATTAGAATCTGTAGTCCATTTTTTTGGTGTTTACAGTTTTAACACGTGGTTACTAACCCATCTTTGATACATGATGCATCGGTCATTAAGTAAATTCTGGTCTTCCTTCATTATGTAAATGAGTATATCAGAGTTAGAGCAGATGCCTGTATATTTTTCATTCTAATGGCTGGATCTGGTAACTTCACCACCACCGATTGCTTCTCCTAGCTAACTACTTTGCAGAACCTGATGCCTATGACCATTTCTTTGTTTGTGAAGCTGTCCTTGGCTTTCATGACCCTTCCCTTTTTGTTCTCTTTTTGTCTTTCTGATCATGCTTTCTGAGTTCTACTTTGACTCCGTGTATTGCTTTCTTTCCTAATCTCTATGTGATGAGGTTTTCTTTGTGTTTTGCTTTGGTTTTGGTTTTGTTTTGAGTTTTGTCTTCTTTGTTCTTAGGGGAGCCACATGAGCAATTCTTCAATCTACCTGTGCACCTTCTGGCCCTCTTTTGAGTATCAGATATGTGTTTTCAGATATCCAGTACGAGTTCTTCAAAGCCTCGCTGTAAACTGGAACTCAATTGTTGGAATCTTATCTCCTCTATAGAAGCAGTTTCTGCCTCTGACTCTTGTCTCTGGTAATGGCAATGCCATTCATCTGTCTCTAGTCTCCCAGTCACTACCCTTCTGAGTAATCTCTGGTTTCTTCTTATCAGCCACACTTTATTCTCTGCATCCAATTTCTCACATTCCTGTCTGTTGACTCCTATTCCTGAGGGCCCTCCTAATGATGGCCTTCATGACCTCTCACTGATGATTGGAGCAATCTAATAACGTCACTGCGCCTGCTCCCTGCTCTTTCTCCCTTCGTCCATATATATGGTTGTCTGATCTTTTTTTTTTTTTTTTGCTTACTTACGTGTGGCAGTTTTATTGTGTTACAGTGACCTCAGTCAACAGAAGACAAATATTCATTTTATTTTTTCAATTTTTAACAAAAATAACATTTTTATTACAAAGGAATATTCCTTTTTTATTTATTTATTTAAATTTAAGTAGCCAACATCTAGTACATCATTAGTTTCATATGTAGTGTTCAGTAATTCATCAGTTGTGTATAACACCCAGTGTTCATCCCATCATCACGTGCCTCCTTAATTCCCATTCCCCAATTTCCCCATCCCCCCACCCCCCTGCCCTCCAGCGACCCTCAATTTGTTTCCTAGAGTTAACAGAATTATTTTCCAAAGTTCACATAATTTAACTCTATCACTCAGATACTTCTAATAATTCTCCATTGCTTGTTAAAGAATCTAAACAAGAAATATCTAAATATTTTGTCAATGTACTTTTAATTTTATTTTACACCTTTATCACTTTTTTTTTATTGTTTATCACTTTCTTTTTATCATGTCTTTTTATCACTACTTTTTCTTTTATTTTACAACCTCGGTATGTATATACTTATTTCTGAATTAAATGTATACACTGACGTACTAATATATTATTAACAATATAAAACATTCACAAAAACAAGGTAAATCAGTGAAATAAACTAAAATTATTATTTTATTTAATATAGATTTGATTACATTAAAATATGATTAATAATAGTATTTTAGAGAGAGCATTGATTGTGCTTCAATATTTTTGAAAATCTTGGTCGGAAATTTTACAATAGCGTTATTTGAATTTCAGCTTCTAGGTTAAGCTTATTTTGGTATTTTGATGTTTAGTTTTAATGACCATCCATAACAAGAAGGATAACCCCCAAGGATATATCAGAATTAGAAGGACTGGATCAGAGTTTGTACTTGCCAAATCTTGCTACCCGTTCTCCTAGTTTGAAATTGAAAATAAATTTTTTAATAGTGAAAATTCCACAAACAAATGTTAATCTTCCCTGATACCAATAATTTGTTCTTGCTATCTGTCAGAAAATGAGGAAAGTAAAATATATATATACATGTATATATATGAAACAGATTAAAATATTCTCTTTAAAATTTGTTAAAGGAGCAGGTATGACAGCTTTTAAAAATGACATGTGTCATTTTATATAGCATAATCACATGATTTCCAAATTTCTGTTTCAGAGGGCTGTTTTCACATAATTCTCTTAAAGAGAATTTATTTTTATTTTGTTTGAGTTTTTTTATTTTTATATTTTTATGGGTTTTTTTTTACTAAATACTTAATAAGTTGCATATTGCTGATAACCAGGGTTTACTTCCTCCCATCTACCTTTTCTCCCCCCATCATCCCATTTACTTTATACCATCTAGTAACCACTTGTCATCACCAAAAAGTTGAACAATTTGGCATTCTTCGACTTCCGTCAAAAAAGAATTAAATCTTCAGATTCTACAACTTTTTTAAAGTAATTTCCCATTACATAATCAGTAAACCTCTGTAGTTAAAATTTTTAAATTCATAGTTATTCTCTATCTCAATACAAAATATTAAGGATATTTTTCAAAATACAAAGGTCTCATCTCTATACAACATACACCACATCTGTAAAATCCTGAGTCACTCTGTCCAATTCTGATCTACTTGTCACAGATGTAGTAAATGAACTTCACAGGTACTGCCATCTCTGTAATCTTACCCTTTTTAAAAGAATAATTCCAATCAAAAAAGCCAACTCTTCAGTAGCTAATTACAGTTTTTTCATTAAAAAAATATGTAGACCTTAAACAAATTCAATATTGAGGCTTACTTCATTCATTGGTACATTTTTCCTTCGTGGGAAGTACTTTAAGTATTACTGAAACAGAAATAGTGAGTATTATAAACTGAACATATTAGAAATATCTACACTTTGATTCTGTTATTACCAAAACTTTTGCTACTCACTTTTGTTATAATTTCTCCCAAACCTTCCAGTTATTTATTTACTCTTTCCAATAATATTTGCTGACAAAGAAACAGAGTTTGATTTGTCCCCGTATCATTTTGTATATATTAGTTCATCCATTTTTCCATGGTGGTTAAATCAAGTTTCTCCAAATGATGTGTGACTTTTTTTTTTGTCTTTTATCATTAAATAAGAAAAATCAAAAGAAGGTTTTAAGTGTTTATTATTCATTTTATTGAAAGTTGGTAAAGTACTGGAATATTTGCAGAAAATTTTAGAAGTTTGTGACAGTGTCATAATATCACTTGCTGTGGTGCTAAAGCATGTTGTGTTTAGGCAGGGTTTGCTATTGGCAATACTGGACATCAATACAGATGTCAAATAGGTTTCCTGATAATGGTAGACGTTTTTGGCAAACTGTCAGATCTGGTTTAATTTGGTCATCGTTGCCTTTATCTTGTAATGTTGCTGATGAAAAGCTTGTAATGATATGATTAGTGTCAGCTTCTTTAGTAATGTGTTTGTCATGTGTTTGTGTATTTCTTACATTATTATCTTTATGATGTGATTTTTGTTTTGCAAGAACCTTTTGTCTACCACTTACCTGTTACAGGAAAACTGGTGTAATTGCTAGTAGGTAATAAAAGCCAGAGAGCTGCCTGACTGAATAAGAAACCTCAGTATAAAGGTGGACGAATAAAGTGACTACCTCACTATAACTTCTCCTTAGAGTGTAACTCCCAGTTTTCTCTCAGGATTCCTCACAGAACAGCAACCAACTCACGTAAGAAGTAAAAGAACATTAGCATCAATCCATTCATTAAATATTAGGAACATGTAATTTTGGATTAAAAAATACAGTGAAGATCTTAACATGTACTTCTTATGGCCCATTAGATCATTTTGCAAACTTGCCCAGGCTTTTGCACCCCACGGCCAAGACTCCTGTCTAAATAACTTAGTTTGGCTTTCTCAGCCCTGTGGAATATGGCTCCAATATACCTTGCAAGCAGCCCCTAATACTTCCCACAAGTGAGCTCTGGAAAGCCAGCCCAATATGCCTTTGTGTAGTTCCTGGAGGTAGATGGTCCTTTCTCCCCTGTACACCTGCACTCAGGTCTCTGTGCATTGTTGCTTCTCGCTTCTGTCAACCTGATTGGGAAGCTCTCACCTGGACCTCTGGGCCACTTTTCTCCCCAGTGGCTGTCACTTCTGCTGCTGAGCTCCCTGTATTGACTAGTCTTAAATTTTTAAATATTCTTAATTTATCTCTTAGAATATTCTCAGCACTATGTTAGGTATTTCTCGATCATTTCATC